TTTCTACATTCCTAGCAACATTTTATGTGTTTTGTTTGTATTTAAATGTGTTTTTAAAGAAAACCTAAAGATGCTGATGCATTTCTCCTTAAAATATGACCAAGTTTTGCCTTATATATTCTAAAACTGTATTACTAAATGCAAATCACGTTATAAATTTCTGGTTGAATGTTTCTTCTATCTTTATGCATTGACCATTTTTATCCCTAACAATGTTTTTTGTTTTAAGACCAATTTTGTCATTTTGATATGATGATATGACTTCTTTTCCCATCATTTTGCCATATTTATGTGTCATTATTTTTAAATATCTCTCTTGCAAATAGTGTAAAAAAAAAAAAAAGCATTTTGCTTGATTTTGTATTTCCCTCCAATCTGACATTCTGTCTTTCAGCTAGATAATTTTGACCATGTACATTTGCCCCAATCACTAATATATTTAGAAATATTTCAACCACCTTATATTGTTTTTGCTATTTGCCAGGTTTTTTCACTGCTTATTTTTCACCCTTTCTGGCCTTAATAAACTTTTCTGTATGCCCTTTTCCTACCTTTAATGTGCATTTTAATGTCAATAAAAATTTTAGGTTAATAAACTAATGAAGATCTCTACTCTCCTCACAAACAAATGAGACATCAGAATATTTTAACACTGACCACTCCCTCCTATCATACATGATGCTGTTTTCCAGTATTTTAGTTCTATACTGTTTTCATATACCTCAAATTAGTTCAAGAATGGACAAGTCCATATGTTCAAATGACTAAAATGCTAAAACAGAGACCCCCACCCCAAAGAAGTGACTCTAACAAGAGAAAAGTGTATTTTTCTCCCTCAACAGTCTGAAAGCAGACAGGTGATCCAAGGCACCATCCCATGATGTCTAGCAAGATAGATTTCTTCTCTCCTTTATCGAGGGTTAAATCCTGGCACCTGAACAGTCTTTTTTTTTTTTTAAGATTTATTTATTTATGCATACAAGAACTGGGGTACAGGCCAGAGATGCGGGGGGTGAGAGGAATCACCAGAGACAGAGTGGGGAACAGAAAGGCAGATTGACTGAAATACTCTGCTGAGGGGAGCAGTGGGTGAGCGAAGAGAGGTCTGCTGCGCCATGTGGGATGCTCCCTGGCTGGGGATCGAACTTGTGCTGCAGAGGCTGCAGCTAGTTTCATAGCTGCTGTGTTTAACCCCTTGTGCCACCAGGGAGGCCCTAGAACAGTCTTTTACCATCATATCATGGTCATGTTAGTGACCCAAATGGTAATTCAACTCTACCAAGTCCAAATTCTACCCTACAGAAAGGGAAAAAAATGAAGTTGAACTCAAGCAACTTCTTTTAAAAAAGTGGTCCGAAAGTCTACTTTCTAGTCATCACAAGATCTGTTTCTATAAACAACATAAGCTGATGTGACTATTCTCTCACCTCTACAGAACTACCTGAGGTTTGATTGATGTCTTTCCAATAAAAATTTCTACCGCTAAAAAGAGGAAATAGGGGGCCTCCCTGGTGTTTAGGGGTTAAGTCTCAGCACGACCCCGCTGAGGCCCACTGCAGCAGCCTGAGTTCAATCCCTGGACAGGGAGCTGACCCACATGGCACAGCAGACCTCTCCTGTTTTGCCTGCTGCTCCCCTCAGCAGTGTATTTCGGTGGTTCTGCCTGTTCTGCTCCCCACTCTGTTTCTGGTGAGTCCTCTTACCCTCTGGCCTACACCCCAGTTCTTCTATACAAAGTAAATAAAAATCTTAAAAAAAAAAAAAAAGAAGAAGAGGAACTAGAAATTGGAGGGTGGACTCAGCATTATTGAGACTCTCCCCTTTTTTCATTTGATAAGTCTAGTCTCCTATTGCCCCTTCTGTGTCTTGGGCCTACTTAGGCTTGCTCTTTGTGTAAGTGACCTTACGAAATACAGTTTCTGACCAGGTGACCGAAAGCACAGGTAAAACTCTGAGGCTTGGGTAACTAGAGGGAGGAGGGGAGAATGGGCTCTGGAAACAAATTAGTTTTACTTTTCTTTTCTTTTTTTTAAGATTTATTTTATTTTACAAGAGCTGGGGTTTAGCAGAGGTGCGGGAGGGTGAGAAGATTCACCAGAGACAGAGCGGGGAGCAGAACAGGCAGATGGACCGAAGACACTGGTGAGGGGAGCAGCAGGCGAGACAGGAGAGGTCTGCTGTGCCATGTGGGAATCTCCCTGGCCGGCTGGGAATCAAACGGGCGCTGCAGAGGCTGTGGACATCGACCACTTGCGCCAACAGGGAGGCCCACAAATTAGTTTTTCATGGACATCATCAGCATCCTGTGCCTTCTGGGTTTTTTTGCTTCACCCCTAGCAACATTATAACTTCATGGTCTCTCACTCTAGCATTTCCAGCGGAAGGGAGGGAAGAAAGAAATTAGGGTGGGGGCTTTTTATAGATATTCCGGTTGAACTCTAGGATTTCCTCTTACTGCTCTGATGTGAGCCACATGCTCATCACTGAAATAGTCACTTTTGCCCAGGGGAGGTGCAGTGCCCTGGGAAACAGGTATGGGGCTCATAGTTACTCTAGGAAGGTGAATTGCATAAGGTTAACCCCATCCAAACCGTGTGGAAAGTAGGAAAGGGATGGTTCCCCAAAGTCAAATAATAAGATGTTATTTTCATCAAAATAGATGGCTGAGCAAGCCACCCAAAGGATAACCATCAGACTTGTCTATCCCCATCAAATCCAAATAAATGAATGTGGGAGATGATCCTGATGATAAAGTTGCCTAGAACACTCTTACACTTCTGCTAGGAGAACTCCTACTTCTCTTTTATTAGGCATTCATTCAGTACCTATGAATGAACCTGTGTGATACTGACCACATGGTTTCCTAATTACGTGTGTGTCTATCTCCTAGTGCTCCCATACCACACTCCTTCAATGGAGCTAGAATCCATTTGTATCCACAGGTGCAAGGCATAGAGTGGACAGTAGAAGACTATACTTACTAAATGAAAGAAAGAGAATCTCAATGATGCTGAATCCACCCTCCAATTTCTAATTCCTCTTTTTAGCTGTAGAAATCTTTATTGGAAAGACCTCAGTCAAACCTCAGGTCGTTCTGTAGAACTGGGAGAAGGAATGGTCAAATAAGATTATGTTCTTTTATAGAAACAGATGTTGTGCTGAAAACAGTGCCAGAAATCATTTTGTTTATGGAACTCAAATCAAATCACCAAGAGGCAAAGACCCAAGTAGGAGGAAGTTCAGCAGATAATTGACTAATCAGAGTTGTCTTCTCATCCTGTTTAATTCTAAAGTTTAAAAAAAAAAAAGGTTGTTATTTATGTGTTTAGATTGGGAATTGATTTCAAAGCACAACCTGGGGCATGCTGGGCATACTCCTGTTCGTAGAGAAAGCTAAAGGGCAGGAAGTTGCAATGATATGCCTTCAGTCATACAACAAAAGGAAGGCAAATACTAGAATCTGAACCCAGGTGGATTTGATTTCACTCACAGCTTCTGCTCTGAGGCCTTAACCATCTTCACTAAATCACTTTGAGGTGACTATTCCTCCATTCTTCAAGTGAGATCGAGGCCCAGGGGTGACCAAGCTTGCTCAAGTGACACAGAGAGTGTCAGAACCAAACCAGGTGTCTGATTTCTAAATCTATTCTGCCTCCCCAGGTTGGGGAAGAGCAAAAGCCAGTGGTGCTGGAATAGGTGAGAAAGCCCCTACCAGTTAGGCACCACCCTTTCCTAGGACACTGTCTCCCTGCTTCCCCCTCACCCCCAGCCTCCCCAAGTGGGTCCCTTCCAGGACTCTTTTCGCAGCCTTTCCCATGGGTTGCACAGGGACTAGAGGGTCCTTGGGAGACTCTAAGACACACGATCCCCCAAGTGTCAGCCAGGACACCCCCAGTCCCAGGGTTCCCAACGCTACACCTCTGAGCTAGGCTTGTGCGTAAGAATGTCAATTGGTTGGATTAGGTGTCAGACTGGGCTCAAATCTGTCCCCCAAATTTTGGCTAATATCAGCAGCTCCCTTTAAAAAAAAGCATCTATTCTGGCACAGACATTTCACCAGGGTATATATACATATTAATTAATTAATCCTCCTCAACCCCTTGATTGGCCCTATTATGCAAAAGAGGAAGGAGCCTGAAGCTCCTGGAGGGGGGAAACCAGCAGTAAGGAAAACAAGCGGTCACCAGCCTGGGATTTGAACCCACTTAGGCCCCAGATTCTGCTGTTGCCTGGGAACGGAGGAGGAGGAGCTGCCAGAGAGAAGGGAGGAGGAGAGAGGGCGCGTTCCCAGCAGCGCGCTCTGACGACAGCAGGTGATTTTTTTTCTGCAGCGCGCTTTCTCTCAGCATCTTCCCTGGATTTTTTTCCCCCTGCCGAACGGCAGAAAAGGGTGGGGCCGCCTCCCTGCAGTACAGACGGCGGCGGCGGTGCTTGCAGCATCACTGCGAGTCGCGGCGGCGGCTGCAGCAATGCTGGATCTCTGCAGGAGGTGATCCCCCTGGGCCTGCTCAGTGGCCAGCTGCGAACGGACGCCGGCGGGAAGGAGAACCGAGCTCCGTCCAGCATCCTCCGGCCACCCCGCCCGGCCCTTCCTCTGCGACATGGCTTAAGTCCGGGGCCACCTCGCCTGGCCGCCTCGCTCTGCCGGGGTCTGAGCTCCGCCGCAGCAGCAGGGAGGGGCGCGCCCCAGACACCCCGAGGGGACTCCGGGCCGCCTTGCCTCTCCCCTTCGGTGCCCGCAGCCGACTGCGATCTCAAGACCTTGGAGGGCAGCTGGGAAGGCTTTTGCAGCCGGTAATCGAGGGACTTTACAGACTCTGTCTCTGCGGCAGCTTTGCCAGCCCGACCTTGCCAGGTGCTTTCTGAGGGAGGAGGGCGAGGAGCTCAGGTTGACCAGGAGGGAGGGGGAAAAAAAAAAATAAATAAAACAGTGGGAATCAGGTTGCCTGGTCGAGGGCCGGGGGCTGAAGGAAGGTTCGAGGCTTGCTTTGAACCACAAAAGGACAGAGGAAAGGCCGGCTTTGCAGCGATCACCATGGCGTGGCCGTGCATCACGCGGGCCTGCTGCATCGCGCGCTTCTGGAACCAGCTGGACAAGGCGGACATCGCCGTGCCCCTGGTTTTCACCAAGTACTCGGAGGCCACCGAGCACCCTGGAGCCCCGACGCAGCCGCCAGCGCCGCAGCCGCTGCAGGCACCGCCGGCTCACGCGCCCCTCTCGGCGCGCGCGGTCGCCATAGAGACGCAGCCGGCCCAGGGCGAGGCGGATGCAGTTGCCCGGGCAACCGGGCCGGCGCCCGGGCCCAGCGCCGAGCGCGAGGCGGCGGGCGCCCACGGCCGAAGTGGGCAGGGCCTGGGCGCGGGCTCCGGCTCCACCTCCGGCGCCGGCCCCGCGGACTCGGTGATGCGCCAGGACTACCGCGCCTGGAAGGTGCAGCGGCCGGAGCCCAGCTGCAGGCCGCGCAGCGAGTACCAGCCCTCGGACGCGCCCTTCGAGCGCGAGACCCAGTACCAGAAGGACTTCCGCGCCTGGCCGCTGCCGCGCCGCGGGGACCACCCCTGGATCCCCAAGCCCATGCAGGTGCCCACGCCCTCCCCGGCCTCGGCTCCGATGCTCGGCGCGTCCAGACGCCGGCCGCCCAGCCAGGAGCGCTGGGCGGCGCATGCCTCTGCCGAGGCCCACGAGCTCGAGGCGGCCTACGGGGGGTCGGCGGGCCCCGCCGCGGGAAAGCCTTCCGGAGGGGACGAGGTGCGCGACACTCGCAGGAAGGCGGGGCCCGCTTGGATGTTGCGACGCGCGGAGGGACTGGGGCCGGAGCAGACGCCGCTGCCTGCAGCCGAGGCCCAGGCCCTGGCTGAGGCCCAGGCCCAGGACCAGGGCCCCGGCCCGGTCCAGGCCCTGCCAGCGATGTCCGAGGCCAGCAAGGGGCGCGAGGCTGCGGACGCCCTCAACAGGCAGATCCGTCGGGAGGTGGCGAGCGCGGCCGGCAGCTCCTACAGGTGAGACCCGGGCCCGGGGCTGGACGGGGCTGGTCACCCTGTCCCCTCAGAGAAGGCCCCAGGCTTTGTGTCTGCACCGCAGACCTCATGTTCAGCCTCCCCGCCCCCACCCGCCATCCCAGGCCACACCCTTTCCCCAGCGCAGACCAGACTTCCTCCGGCAGGCTACTTCTCTTTTGCTTTTCTCTTTTTGAAAACTTGGCACTGTCCATTCCCGCTTGCCCAGGTCTTCGCTTTCACCCTTCAGCTGCCCTGTTCCCAGTCCCGCCCCATTTCGGACCCCTGTCTGCCTAACAGAGACCCTCTGCGGTTTCCACACAGGCTGCGCTTCCATTCTGCCCCACCCAACTCACTGGCTGTGTTAGTCTGGGTACTGCCCTTTGCTGACTCAGCTGCTGCCCACAGGCTTTGTGACTTTCCATAGAGTCCCATCCTCCCCAAAGTATTTACAGGATTCTTTTTCTGTTTCATAGATTTCCCCTCCTTCCTAGCCCAGTCCACTTCCTCCCCTCTCTGAGTCACTGAGAGACACCCAAACACCACACCCTTTTCTAGAGTCCCTGCAGGGCACTGAGAGATCACCCTCCCTCTTCTGACACTTGGGCTTTCAAGTCACATTCTTTATGCCTGTTGTGAGTTGTGACACAGTAGACAAATTTCTTAACCTTTCTGGGCCTCGGGTTCTTATCTGTAAGATGCGATTAATAATAGATTGTTCTCTTAGAATTGTTCTTACATTTATTGATTTAATATTAAATATTCAGCATGGGTTTGAGCACCTACTGTATGTCAGACATTGTGCTAGACATTGTAAAGAGTAAATGAGATGAATCAAGAAGAGCGATGTGCCTGGCACATAGTAGGTGATTACATGTCTTGGTTCCATTCTGACCTTTTACATGCCTCATTATTCTGATTTCCACTTCCTGAATACGTCCAACCTTCTGCCCTATTGATACATCTCCTTTCTCTTTTCCCTTTATGTTCTCCAGATGTGTTTCTTATTCTCTTGCCCCCAAGAACCTCTTTATCACTTTTAAATTCCTTATAAATTAATGTCTTCAAACAATGGCATTTTTCAACCCCCTCCTTCTTCATATCCCCTCCTCCCCGTGTCTCTGTCTCAAATTCTCCCCATGCTGCAGCCTCAGCTTTTTCAGCTGCCTTTTTCATCCTTTATCCATCCTGTATGTATTTCTCAATGCTTACCTTTCAATTTTGCCCTTATGTTTCAACCCAAATTAATGACCTAAGATCACTGTTGACGCTGAATATGTATCATTGGGCTTGGGTTCTCTGGAGAAGCAGATGTGCATGATGAGTAATTGAGTTAGAGGTGTTCAAAATGTGACTTATGGGGTTCTTCATCAATGCCACAGCCAGTTGCCTCCTTCCTGCAGGAGGGTGTGGTCAAGAGGACTGCAGAGCTAGTGTCTTTTGCCAAGACCCTATATGTCACTTCATGTCAGACTGATGTCCTTCTCCAGGGGCCATGATAAAACCCTCATATGCTGAGGAAAGAATAGAATAGACATCTTGTTTTTAAAAAAATAAAATTTTATTGCGGTGATGTTGGTTTATAACATTATATAGATAGCCTCTTTTGTTAAAACAAAGTCTACACCCTTACCCCCAATTTTAACTCTGGAAAGGACTTCACAATGAGAAGGGAACACTAATTAACTGATTCCTACTTCTTCCTGAATTCCACCTCCCCCTGGCATCTCTCATGGTTTGTTGTTATTTCCACCACAGTTGAAAATAAAGCTCTGGGTCAGGCAAGGACATATGTCATATTTCGTGGCTCATAGCAATCTGGAGGTGGGATTTTCAGAATATTTTTAGGCTGCCACCAAGGGAAGAGCAGAAAGAAAAGAAAGAAAGAAAATAAGTAAAGGGCATAAAAAAACAAAGCCAAGATGTAGTTTTGTGATTCTGCATTGGCTTTCTTGTTTACAAGGTCCTTGATTCCTGAGAACCCTAAAGGTGGCCCAACATCACAGATTTCTGGTTTGGCTTCATCCTGTCCTACCACTCTGTCATGGGTAGAACTTTATCATCCACCAAGTAGGAGCTACCTCTCTTCAACTCCATGTAGCCTTACCAATCAAGAGTGTTTCCTTGATTTTCAATTCTTCTTGGGTGATCCTACTCAGTTTATGTTTCCAAGTTGGCAGGACTTACTTTGTCCATGGCTGATTATCCAGACCATCAGGGAATGCCCCACCCTTCAGATGCAACTCACAATCAGTATTTTGGGTTTTACCTTTGTTCTGTGTAGCTTCTTTCCCCTAGACAACACCTCAACTGTGCAATAAACATGCCATGCTTTAAGGTAGAATTAATTATACACATACTGATTAGGTTATGCTGTCACAGCTGGTGAAAATGATTATTTTTAGTGGTTATCAAAATTCCATCAACCTGTCCAGAAAAATCTCTGGGCACCTTAAAAATATTTTTTTCTAATTTGGGTCTTCTATAAAATTTAATTATGCATATGACTTTGGGGCCAACAGTTCTATTTTACTGTATAATTAGAAGAATTTTGAAACATTAAGACAATGAGTGTTGCTAAGAGACATTGATTTCTCTAATGGGTACTTTAAGTGCATGACAAATTTGATGTGAAATTTCGTATTTTTTGTTTCAGAAGACAATTAACCAATAATAGGGAAATGCACATTAGGTGAGCAGAGATATGAAGAAATAAGATAACCGATACATCAAAGATACTATAAAGAAAAATGCATGTAAATTATAGTCTTACCTAGAACATTGATTTTCCTTCCCTATTGTCTCACATATTTTCCTTGTTATGATTCTGAATATCTCCTCATGTCTGCTGTAGATGAGCGTTCCATTACCTTTGAAGCCAAGTTGGTTCCATTTCAATGATAATTTGATTTATAAACCCTTTTCTTCTGCCACTCTACATAAATCATGGTGTTTTACACCATGGTGACTGGTTCATCTCATGGGCTTTACAAATGACATCTGTCACATGACATTAGTGTGCGCGGTTTGCTTAAAGAGAGAAAGACTACATAATCTAGCAGCTTAATATATCGGTATATAATGGAAAATATACACTTACTATCCAGAGTCATATATGTGCTAAACGGTTTTCCCCTACAGTATACGGTTGGCATATAACATGAAATATCCTTTCGAGCTATGGTTTTGAGAAACGTTCCCTGTTCAACAATTCATCTTATTCATGACCTATCCTCACTAGCCTGGGATTTTTGCATTTAAGTGGTATCTCAGTGCAAGTTTATCTCTAGAATTATTCACAGTCATAAAGTTGATTATTTTGAATACATTTGTATTATATAACATTATAAAATTGAGAAACATGTCTTTGTTATCATTTTTAATGTTAAGGATGGACTTCACTGGGCAGCCATTTGTGACTTTAGACCTAGTGTTCTCAATTAGAAAACAGATGAGTCATAAGGAGAGGATTAAAATTCCCTTCTCAGTCTACCCCATTGCCTTAGCCATCCGTTAATAGGGATGGATGGGGGAGCAGGTGCTCCCCATAGAAATGCTAATGAGAGACTTTTTCCTGGAAGAAATTAGATGAGACACCAGGGTGTAGAATTAATAAACCAGAGGCAAAATACTTGGGAAAAAAGAGAGCAGTTACAAGGAAATCAGGAAGAAAAGGAACCTTTTATATCTGTCCTATAGTCTTCCATAAAGCTTCGAGAAAGGCCCATCTACCATGGCTTATATTGTGCAGAATTGTTCTATATCTATAGAGTAACTCCTCAGGTCCCTAGCTTCCTCCTGGGTAAGTTCCAGTCTCTGCTAATGAATCTTCAATGACCTTTTCCTAGTTCCTGCCATTGAGAATTTATTTTTCTTTTATTCCCTTTTAATAGTCTGTACACTTCTCATTGTCTGCTTGATTGTAAGATAGTTTTGTCCATATCTGCCTCTTCTACCAGATCATGAAGAGAAGGCCTATATTCTGTTCATCTCTGTGTAGTGTATTATCCCTCTATCACAGTATATGTATAACATTGTGTCTAGTTGCCATAGAAGCTTGTTGAATCCAATGGAGTTTTTAGAGTTTGGCGAAACATTTACTCACCCACATGTTGATTCACTTTTGTTCAGTTTCATTTTGTTGAATTTATGTGTCTTCCTTAATCAAGATAAGTCTAAATCCTGCTGCATTATCACAAGAGGTAAAATGTTCAGACAAGGAAGGGCAGCAGATCTGACTCTCACTGCCCCTTCACCCAGGTCCTCAACCTTGGATGCACATTGGAGTCACTGGAGAACTTTAAAAATGCTGATGTATAGGGGCCTTGCCCAGAAATTCTGATTTAATGAGCCTGGGGTGTAGCCTAGGCACCTGAATTTTAAAAAGTTGTCCCAAGTCATTCAACATGCCATTTAGGTATGACCTACTTCCCTAAAGCAAAGATTCTCATATTTTAGTACACAAAAGAATCACCTGGAGAACTTTCTAAAATGCAGATTCCTGGGTTTTATCCTCAAATATGCTGATTCAATAGGTTTAAAATGGATTCTAAAATCTGCATTTTAACAGTCATTCTAGGTATTTTGATGCAGGTAAACTTTAGACTTAAGAAAACACCGGAGAGATTTGTTGTCTCTAAGGTACTGAATTTCCCCATTTTCAACATGGTATCATTTGCCATTTATTTTTGCCATTCATTTAAGTCTTCTATGTCCTTCACTTATATTTTGTGACTTTCTGTACAAAAGTCATGCAAACAAGTTTCATGTTTTGTTTTTCTATATTTCAGTCTTTAATGATCTAACTGAATTTCAACCTTATGGAATGAGGTAACTTTATGGAATTTTCTTTTTTCCCATCTGGAAAGTTATTTATACCAATATCCCTTTTGAAAGTTCATCCTTCCCCTTCTATTATCCCCATTAATATTTCTTCTGTCACCTAAGGGTCATGTCAGCTTGGATGTTTTTCTGGGCTCTCTTGTTCTATTCCAGCTGAGCTA